CACGAATGTCCATGCCGGACATGTCACGTAGGTTGTTGCGCGGGGTGTTGGCGACCGTCATGGGCAGGCTGAAGTTGTAGAGCTGGTTGATGTCTAGCGTGCCATCTCCAGGTGTCCAGTCAACCGGTGGTGTAAGCCATGCTTTCTGAGGTTGAACTGGCAGGGCTGCAGGGTATCCAGGCGATGGTGTAGCTTGAGAAGGAGTGACCGGTGGTGGCATCACGGGCGTGATGAACTTCGCTGGCGTGGGCTTTGGAGGAACCGGTATCATGTAGTTGACCGGTGAATGATGGAACTGCTGCGTGGGGTTTGGAATCGATTGATAATTGCCTGGCATCACCGGAAAATTGTTGCTGGAGTTGTAGCCTGAATTGTGTTGCCAGGATACCAGGTTGTTCCAATCCATGCCCTCCGAGACCTGATTGTCATTGTGTTCGCGTCGGCGTGCTTTGCGAGCTTGAGGGGAAGGACTCCGATCCCGTCTGCGCCGTGTTCTGGATCTGTCACGATCATCCCGTCGAGACATGATGGCACAACAAACTCAAAACTGCGACACCTCAATCTTGAGAGAATCGAATCCGACAAGATGCAAGTCAACGCAAGTTCAAGCCAAGCACAGATCAACACGCGGTCATGCAGCCACCAGCAGCGATTGTGAGACTTAGCTATGATCTGACGGCTGTCTTCCCTTTAGTGAAACCTCGTTCCTGGTTAAATCAGAAATTCCGCTGTTCTATGATAAGCACGTTGAGGTCAAATTTTCCGACAGAGTCGGCCCGGGGTCACACAATGGGTACACCCGAGGATTCCCCACGAATGGGGTGTACACACTTAAACTCCAGATGGAGGGTGCTAATCTTTCGAGTACAACTGATGAGTCTCGAGTACAACTGATGAGGCTTGAGTAGACAAGTCTCAAGTCGGATAAGGTTCGGCTGGCAGGTCACTTGGCTTCACTCTAGTTCTTCAACAGGGAGACAGAGAAGCAACAGCGGTTCAGCGGAGGGACCAAAAGGTTCGGCGAACTGGACGACATTCAGGTACACGTCAGGGCTTTCTCAACCATTGTCTTCGTTGGCCAGGTACCGCTGCCCCCTGCTACTAATGTGGTGACAGGGTATTCTGCCACTCCCACACACACACACACACACACACACACACACACACACACACACACACACACACACACACACACACACACAGACACACACACAGACACACACACAGACACACACACAGACACACACACAGACACACACAAAGACACACACACAGACCCTTCCGGATTTCACGACCAAACCATCACTGTCTTCGTTGGGCAGTGAGTGATGGCGGTCCACTGCCCCCCTGCTACTAATTGTGGTGACAGGGTATTCTGCC